GAAGGAATAGGGCTGTAATCTCGATATTTGATATTGAGGTCTCTGTTGGCGTCTGTGTTTATATAGGGAGCTGGATTTTGGAAATGTGTACCATAATTGTACGAAAAGTTCTAAGTGGTCCTAAATTTGGTATTGGGTGGAGGGAAAAAACTAGAATGCCAAAACTTGATATTGAGGTCTCTATTGGTATCTACGATTGATACATGTAGGTAGGGCTGGAATCCCGAAATTTGATATGGATATCATCGTTGGTGGCTGTGATTGAGAGAAGGAGGTGGGTTTGGAAATGCGTTCTATATCTGTACGAAAAGTACTAAATAGTAATAGATTTGGTTTCAAATACAGGAATAGAGTTGGAATCCTGAAATTTAATAATGAGGTCTCTGTTGGTATCTGGAATTGAGATATGGATGTGGTCTCGGAAATGTGTACTATAATTTTACGTAAAGTATTAAATCGTACAAAATTTGGCATTGGGTGAAGGAATAGAGCTGATGCCCTGAATTCTTTAATCCTGGAATCCTCAAATTAGATTTTGGGGTCTCTGTTGGCACCTTAGGCTTAAATTTGAAGGCGGAGTTGGGAATGCGCTCATATTTGTACAAATAGTACTAAATGGTACCAAATTCGGTATTGGGTGAAGGGATAGAGCTGTCATTCTGAAATTTTATATTAAGGTCATTGGGATTGAGATTTGGAGGTGGGGTTGAAAATGCGTTCTTTTTTTGTACGAAAAGTACTGAATGGTATTCCATTTGGTATTGGGTGAAGGGATAGGGCTTTGGTCCTCAAATTTGATATTGAAGTCCCTGTTGGTACCTGGAATTGAATTTTGGCGGACATATGTATATAAGATATTTTCAGGGAGTGTTGCGCCTATGATCATTATTATTTTTTAATTATTTTCAATTTTTTTTTTTTATTTTTTCCGAACTATTATTGGGGAATATTTAAGGTCCACATTTTTTAAAAATATTTTTCGAAGTATTTTAAAAATGTTTGCTATATAAATATGATTTCAAAACAAACTTCTTTCATTACCTCATTCGAATTCCAAAACTTAAAGGACCTATTAAATACCCCTCTCCATCCACACACATCCTATTTTTCATTTTCCATTAACATATGCATGTGTGTTCGCACTAAACGTGCTTGACGACGACAGTGCCAATCATAATCACAAAATGACTGGGAGAAGAAAATACCACCAGTAATGAATTAGATTTGTTTTCATTTGCAAATGGATTGCCATGGGTTCTGCCACCGAAACAAAAATTGTTAACTTGATGCAGCTCTCTCCGCTTTGGTATTTTGTAGAGAAGAACTTGAACTGATTAGATTATGTTTTTGAAAATTTTTTGTTTATCATTTCCAAAATACATTGTCTAATTGCATTATTACTAGAACTCTATAGGAAATTGTTGAAGGAAGTTCTACAAAATTGAATTACAGTTACTGTAACCAAGGAAAAAGCTTAAATCGCATGGGATGTATTGAAGAGATAGAGGGATTTAATGGAAAGGTAAATAAATTTAGAATCAGTTGGTTAGGGAAATAAAAATCAATGTTTTATTCGATCTAGAAAAGGAGCCAGGAATCCAAAACATGAACAGTGGTTATTTTCCTCGGTGATGTTGTCAAATATTTTAACGAAGTATAATTTTTCTACAATTTTAGAACGCTGTTCGAATTGGGGGATTTAAAGGGAGGATCTCTTAGAATTGTAGATTATATTTCAATGCCCAAATATTAGAAATGAACTTCAAAATACCAATGATTGAATTTACCGTTATTTGGGGCCTATGACAAACCCTGATTCTAAATTGAGCATATTCCATGCAGATGTGTTCTACGAATTTCATTTGAAAATATTAAATTATAGCCAACTCTTTAGGGAAATGTGGCCAGTATTTTTATTAAAATATCAGTACATCCTAAAAAGGTAGTCATCATTTTAGTACTCGAAATGCATAAACGATTATAACTAAATCCTAGAAATAAACAGTAACCTCAATACCAAATTTCAGGATTCAAGCTATATCCATTCATTCAACGGCAAAATCAGTACCATTTAGTAATTTTCGAAAAATCATAATACGCATTCCCGAATCCACTCTTTCTCGCCTCCATATGAAATTTCAGAATTCCAGCTCTATCCTAAGACCCAATCGCAAATTCATTGACATAATTTTCTTACAGTTATAGTATCCAGGTCCAAACTCACTTACTTCTCTCCCCCCAAGACAGCAGCAGTGACCTTGATTCCAAATTTAAGGATTAAATCTCTATCCCAACACCCAACGGCACATTTTTTTGTCATTTTGCACTTTTCGTACATTCATCGTACGCATTTCCACCTCCAAACTACAGACACCACCAGCGACATTCATATCAAATTTCAGCTCTACCCCTTCACCCAATATTGATTTAGTTACATTTTATTCTTTTCGTATACTTAAAGTACAAACCTTCAAAACAACCTCAATATCTCAATTTCAGATACCAAACATCAACATCCAACCTTATTTCATCACCTAATACCCAACTCTGTACCACTTAGTATTTTTCTTATAATTATAGTACACATTTCCAAAACTACCTCCATATTTCAATCGCAAATACCAAGAGAGACCTTATTACGAATTTTGAGGATTCCAATCCTATCCATTCACACAACACCCAGTTTTGTACCACTTTGTACTTTTCGTACAATTATAGTACACATTTCCAATACCACCTCCATCTCTTAACCGCAAACATTAACAGTGACGTCTATATCAAATTTTAGGATATCATACCTATTCCTTCAACCAATACCAACTTTAGTACTATTTAGTACTTTTAGAAGAATTATGGTACACATTTCTAAAACCACACCCACATCTAAATCCCACATACCAACAGAGACTTTTATATCAAATTTCGGGATGACAGCCCTATCTCTTCACCCAATTTAAAATTTAGTACCACTTAGTACTTTTCGTACAAATATAGAATGCATTTCCATACCACCGACAAATCTCAATCTAAAATACTAACAGAGACCTCAATATCAAATTTCGGGATTGCAACTCTTTCCCTATTCTTAACCTCAGACACCAAAACTTAGTACTTTTCGAACAATTACAGGACTCGCCACCAATACTACCTCCATTTCTTAACCACAGACACGAATAGTGGGATCTATATCATATTTCAGGACACAAACTCTATTCTTTCGCCCAATACCAAATTTAGCATTAAAGTGCACTTTTCCAAAACCTCCTCCATATATCAATCCCAGATACCAACAGTGACCACAATATCAAATTTGAGTATTCCAGCCATATCCCTTCAGCTGATACCCAATTTAACACCAAAATGTACTTTTCGAACAATTTTAGTACACGATTTCAAACCACCTCCACATCTCAATCCCAGGTACCAACAAGGACCTAAAAGTCAAATTTTGGGATTCCACCTCAATCCCTTTATCCTATACAAAATACAGTTCATAAAATTATAGTTCATATTTCCAAAACCACGTCCATATGTCCAGGCTACACATAAAAAACAACCTAATACAAAACAACCTGTTCAACCAATAGCAAATTGTGTCAAATTTAGTAGAATTTAGTATCGGTTCACCACAATTCCAATTTGTACCAAATTTAGTACCACTTAGTACAGATAAGTACGAATTTCCAAAACTTCTTAAATATCCCAATCCTACACTCTGACATTAATCTTATTTCTAATTTTCGGGATACCACCCTTATCAGTTTACCCAAATCCCAAATTGTACCAAATTTAGTACCATTTAGTACACTTAAGTACACATTTTCATAACTACCCACATCATACAATCGAATAGAAATCTTATTTTTAAATATCAGGGTTCCAGCTCTATTTAGTACTATATAGTACATATAAGTACGAATTTACAAAACGACCTGCATCCCTTAGTCATTGAAAGCAATAGTTTTCTTATATCTAACTCTATTGGATTCCAACTCTATTGGTTCTCCCAAAAAATAATTGTATTGCATCAAATTTAGAACTATTTTGTACACATTAGTACGAATTTCCAAAACTACCCTCAATCCTACAATGGTATGGTAGGTATGTTACTCCCCAATTTTAGGATTCTAACTCTGTTGGTTCTCCCAAAAATTATATTGTACCATTTAGTACAATTTAGTACCATTTAATATACGTATGTACGAATTTTCAAAACTACCAACATTCCTCAGTCCTTGAAAGCTATGGTAATCTTACTTCTAAATTCCAGAATTCCAGCTCTATCGGTACACACAAATCGAAATTGTACCAAATTTAGTATAATTTAGTACTTTATGTGCACATGAGTACAAATTTCGTCTTCTTCTTATCGCATATCTTCATCCTTCACTCCTCCATATCCCAATTCTACACTCCCAATTTCAAATTTCGAGATTCCAGCTCTTTCCGTTCCTCCAAATTCAGATTGTACTAAGTTTACTGTACTTTTGTACTTTTCGTATACATATGTACACTTTTCCAAAACTACCAGCTTACATCGACTCTACCCCTAAACCTTGATTCCCATTCCAAATTTGAAGTTTTTAACTCTAACCGTTCACATGATACGAAATGGTACCAAATTTAGTACATTTTTGTACTTTTCGTACATCACTGGTAGCATATTTAGCACCTTTGTGTACTAATATCTTTTGAATGCGAATTTCCAAAAACCCAGCCTTATATGACCCCTTCGGACAAAGAGTGACTCTCACCCAAAATTTCAAGATTTAAGCTTCAGCCGTTTCGTCTAGGCATTGATGAATCGTCAGTAGTCAGTCTGTCAGTTAGTCAAACACCCGCCTCCATTGGATGTCATTGATGACATTTTCAATCCTGCAGATGAATTGAAAAATGCCATCCCATTACCCACTTTTCAATATTCTAATAGTTTCAATATTTTATATTAAATTCCCAAACATTTTTCTAACATTCTTCCATCACTTTCTTGTATCTTCCAGAGATCGCATTGCCCTGGTCAAATCGCCGGTGACTCATAGTAAACCTGCTCGCATGAATTTGATACCCGTTGACAGCGGTGGTGTTCTGACATTTCAGCAGGCCATGTCTGGAGCTGTTTCGCCGCAGTACTCGGCCACATCACCGCTGTACGGACGTGGTGATGGTGGCATGGGCATCGCCTGTGGCACCAACAACAGTCATTTAACGTCCTCAACAGTTGGCGGAGCGGGGCCGGCTGGTGGTGCAGCAGACGGGCGGGGAGGTCCAACGACATCAGAACTTGACATGCTACTTGAGGATACTACATCAACTGTCTCTCCTACATCTACGATTTGCTGTAATGGCGGCGTGGGCCCACCACCCAATGGACCTTTTCTGGCCGACACCCCCACCGACATGGAATGCAACGGCCTGAGACACAGGAATGACCATCGTCATGACATGTTTAATGCAACAACGAACTCGGCAAACGATGCAGGTAGAGGAGGTGGTGGCTGTTGCCTTGACGATTTGGACTCACCCACAGCCATACCGCATGAACGCATTGCCGGTGTCGGCTCGAGCCTGGTGCATGGCGGCAGTTCGGCAACGATAGCCCAATTGGGTAATAAGCAAAGGCAACGTATGCGCACCTCAAGTATGCCAGCTGAAAGTAGAAAGGTATGTATAAAATGTGGCAATTGGAGAGGTATGAATGGGCTCGCAAAGACACACACACACAACTACAGGAACACTCATACGCCTACATGTACGCTCTCTCTCATCTTGTATACGCCACCTGTTTAGTTGTGGAATCTTGATTGCATTAAAGTAGATTTATTTGCTGCAATAAGTACGGCCTTGGAGGAAGGGTTGTTGTTGCTTTTTTGCGCATTGTATTTAATGTTGTAGAAAATCCACAGATGTGCGATCTCTTGATATGCCATAAAAACTCATAAAAAATATTAAATTGCCCTGATGGCGTTGAACTGAAACTGTTAACAAGGACTGTACAGCAGCTACCTTATGTAAGATAGGGAAAATGTTAAATAGAAGACTGGATCGAAATTAAAGCTAGAATTCTGAAATTTTGATTGGGGGCTCCGAGATATATGTAGAGGTAGATGGGCAATGTTTTTTTGGTAATTTTAAATAAATTGATACAAATAGGTAATAATAAGAGAGTCATTGGGCGTAGTGGTAATGATAGAATACAGAAATTTAGCGTATTGGACACTGTGCTGGGTAGGGGTTAGAGAATGCTAGGTTTTGCACACCAGGACTAAAAGCATGCCAAAAAGGCACAAAAGGTACTAAACTGTACAAAATTACTAATGGATTTGGATTTACTAATTCCCCGACCTACGAATTCGGAATACAGGTCTCTGTTATAAAATAAACAATTAACAAGCAGTTAAGTTTTACCGGTCTGAATATTTAATACCCTCCGAAATTTCGAGGATACTTGGAAAATTAAAAAAGGAATTTTGTTGAAAAACAAGTAAAAAACAAGTAAGCTAGCCCGTCTTGAACCTTTAATACCCTCCACCTTAGGGTAGGAAACATTTTCACATAAAAGTATCTGAATTCAAGCGTGTTTTACTTTAAACTTCATATACCAGTAAGAAATTTTGCATAATGCAGTTAAACTTGTCAAAAATCATAATGTGAGTGAGACCGTTATATGGGGCAATACCAAAACGGGAACCTCTATAGACAATTTTATACTTCTAGGATTGTCATCTATCAAATCTTGTAAAATACCAAAATTGTAACAATTATGTGGGTAAGTGTGACTAGGGTTATCAAAATACCGAATATCGGTGGGAATCGTTATATGTGAGCTATAGGAAAACGTGGAATTAAATATTCAATGTTCTGCCACTGGGCTAGGACCCATTATGAACTAAAAATTCCATTTTTTTTTATCAAAATATCGAATATCGGCAGGTACCGTTATATGGGGGCTATACCAAAATGGGACCTATGCATACAATATTTCGCCACACGGGCTACAACCCGAATTAAGAACTACAAACACCAAATTTAATACAAATTCGTGGGAAAATGTGGCAAAAATGATAACAATATGGAATAACGGGAGGTACCGTTATATGGTACCGTTATATGGGCCCAGAATGTGGTACAATTTTTCGCCACCGGAGCTTGAACCCATCATGGGCAACAGATTCTAATTTTTAGACAAATCGGTGGAAAAAAATGTGGCAAAAATGATCAAAATAGCGTATGTCGGGAGGTACCCTTGTATGAGGGCTACACCAAAACGTGGACCTATTCATACAATGTTTCGCCACACGAGCTAGAACCCATAATACCCTACAAAAAAAAAAAACAATTTTAACCTATACCAATTTTTGAGACAAATCCGTAGAAAAATGCGGCAAAAATCAACAAAATACCGAATATCGAAAAAAAAAAAAACGTTATATGGGGACTACACCAAAACGTGGACCAATATATCTCATTTTCAATACCAACTATCCTAGGTACCATACAAATTGTTCTGCTTCATTTTGACACTATGCGTCAAATAATGTGGGCTGTATCGTGATTTCAACTCGACTTAGAATTTTATGCTGATTATGAATACAGGGTAGGATGAAAAAACTGCAACCAACTTTAGACTGCTGTCATTTCTAAGCCACTCGTCCGACATTATATTGTTTACAAGCGTACAAAAGCATTTTGGAACAAAATTATTCGAGATGGAATTCAAGCGTGATAGTGTGATTTCTTTATATTTGGCTGGAAAACCACAAGTGGCTATCGTTAGAGCACTCCAGCATTTTAATGTGAATAAATCTTTTGTGTCTTGTACCATCCCTCGTTACCGTGATACTGGTAGCGTAGCTCGACGTCAAGGAAGTGGACGGAAGAAAACAGCAACCTCAGCAGAAATGGTTCGAAAAGTAAAGACTCGAATTGATCGAAACCCGTGTCGCAGTGGTCGAAAAATGACTCATTAGCTGAACATATCGCAATATTCCATTCGGCAAATATTGAAAAATGAGCTCGGGGTAATGTCCTTGAAATTCCAAAAAGTGAACGAACTTACACCGCAGCAGAAAGAAAATAGACTCAAAACAGCTGAAGAGTTGCTTCGCTTGGCTGAAGGTGGTGAACTGCCGAATTTGGGTTTCTCTGATGAGAAAACATTCCTTGTCCAGCAGTTTGTAAACAAACAAAATGATCGTGTTTACTTGCCAAAGAGGTCAGCTGAAAATGTGCACCTTCGGCTGGCCACCAGAACTCAAGCGCCGGCCATGGTGATGGACGTATTAATCGACCGAATATTATCGCGAAAATATTTTGGAAAGTCTTTAATACACCCTCCAGAATATTTCTTGGGCACGCAAACATTTTGGCCGCAAACCTTAGACATTCCAATAGGACTCAGCACCCGCCTCCCAAGAATATTACAAAATGAGTTCCTCGCTTCATTTCTAGCGCACAATGGCCACCAAACCACCAAAATCTTTAGGTACCAATCCGTTGGACTAGTGAGTATTTTGGAAAGCAAGGTTGGCACACTAAAGTACCAAAATGTAGATCACCTAAAGCAAGCGCTTCGCCGGGAATGGCCCAAAATACCACAGAGCAATATTCGGACAGCGTGTGAAGGCTTCATTGGCCGTTTGAAGGCCATAATTTGAAGTAATAGAGCTGGAATCGCGAAATTTAATATAAAATTCACTGTTGGCATCTGGGATTGAAATTTGGAGATGGGTTTATAAATTAGAGCTTGAAATGTGATATGGATGTCACTGTTGGTGTCTGTGGTTGAGGGAAGAAGCTGGTTTTTAAACGCGCGAAAAGTACTAATATAGCACTTGATTTGAGTGAAGTGATAGACATGAAATTTTGAAATTTGATATTTAGATAATTGGATCCGAGATTGAGATATGGATTGATAGGAAAATGTGGTTTTAGAAATGCGAACTGTGAACGTACGACAAGTGAAAATACCACAAACGGAGCCATTGGCTGTTGTGATAGGTATGGATTTCTTAAAATTGGTGTCGAGCGCACTGTTGGTGTCTAGAGTGCAGAGAAGGGTGTGGTTTCGGGAAGGCATACTAGGAATATTAAAAAAGTACTAAATGTTATAAAAATTTAGTATTGGGTGAATGAATAGAGTCGGAATCCCGAAATATGACACTGTGGACCACTATTGGTATCTGGGATTGAGATATGGAGGTGGTTTTGCAAATGCGTACCATAATTGTACGAAAGGTACTAACTTTGGATTAGTGTTGATGTCTATGGCGGAGAACAGGAGGTGTTTTTTTTTTTTTTTTTTTTTTTGGGAAAATGTGTTCTATAGTTGTGCAAAAAGTACTAAATTAAACGAAATTTGGTATTGGGTGCAGAAATAGGAATGGAATTCTGAAATTTGACATTTGACTGTTGATACCTGGGACTGTGATATGGAGGTGGTTGTGAAAATGTGTTTTATATTTGTACAAAAAGTACTTAATAGTACTAAATTTTGGTTGTGGTTGAAGAAATAGAGCTGAAATGCTGAATTTTGATATTGAGGTCTCTGTTGGTATCTGGAATTGACGCATGGAGGTGGCTTTGGTAATGTGTTCTGTAATTGTACGGAAAGTTCTAAATAGTACCAAAATTTGGTTGTGGGTGAAGAAATAGAGCTGAAATGCTGAAATTTGTTATTGGGGTCTCTGTTGGCACCAGAAATTGATATTTGGAGGTGGCTTTGGAATTGCGTACTATAGTTGTTCGAAAAGCACTGAATTTTGTATTGATTGAAAAATAGAGCTTGATTCCTGAAACTTGATATAAATGTCACTTTTGGTGTCTGTGGTTATTATATGGAGGTCATATTGGACATGTGTTCTATAATTTTTCAAAAAGTACTAAGTGGTACTAAATTGATTATTCGGTGAAGTAATAGAACTAGAATCCCGACATTTTATATTGAGGTCTCTGTTGGTATCTGAAACTTAAATATGGAGGTTGTTTCGAAAGTATGTACTATAATTGTACGACAAGTGCTAAATGGTACTAAATTTGGCCTTGGCTAAAGGGAAAGAGATGAAATATAATTTTTTGACTAGATTTTTTGGTATCTGTTGGTTGACAAATGCACGTCATGCTAGTATGTTATGCAAAGTTTAAAGGTTGTACAAAGGATAATATGTCCTCTATCCGGATTTAGACAGGCAGTGGGATAAAGTTAAATCGTCTTAAAATTAAATGCTGATCAAGACTATGTTAACTTTATGGAGTCCAAGACCAATGTTTCAAGGTGCTACAAATGGAATAACAGTTCTTATTCATATACTGCCCGTCTTACGGTGGAGGGCTAAAAAACGAGGAACTTGTCAGGAAAATCTAATTTGGAAATAGTCTCAAGAAGAAAAGAAAAGGATATCCTTGCCGAACTGTATTTTTAACAAGTAAGCAAAGGCTATAGTCGTTCGGGCCGACCATGTGATACCCTACAACACTACAATATGTTCGAAGTCCCCTTATATCCAAATCCATTTTGGAAGATTTCGTTTTTGAAATAATGTCAAATAGTCCCGCCTAGAGGTTACCCTTAGTTTTTTGACCCGGAGAATTTGGCCATTATTTACGCACTCCGTAGTGTTGTTAAGTAATCAAAACAATTTCACACGAAAGTTGGGGTCCATTTT